GTGGGTGTGCATCTGCGAGACGAGCCCTCTCTCTTCGTCGCTTCCGGGAATCCTGGTGTGACGTTGTGCCAGCATTATTACCAGCGAAGGCAGCTTGAAAGAGAGGGGACCAAGATAGCGGCGGAGAGCACATGGCATGCATCTGTGCACAAGCGGTAGCCCATTGAGCACGAGAATGGAGCGGACCCACTAGTCGGAAGTGAAGTTGCGGGCCCCGCCCCAGTCATATCCTGGGCACGGTACGATGTACCACCACTGGTAGGAGAGCGTCTCGCCGAGAACACAGCCACGCGCGTGACACTTAGTGGGACAAATTGGGCTAGCAGCAACTCACCGCCCGGGCCACCGGGACAATGTACGACGACATAGGCTGTCGCGAACACACTGCATCCGCGTAGCCCAATATCGCCAATTAGGGACGATTATAAATTACCTCCCTAGCCTGGGTCCTCAAATTTATATGTGAATTGCACGAGTTGTGGATAGAGCCTCGTCCGCGTGTCCTGCAACTCGGACCCAGAGCAGAGCAGCCAGCTCTCCGGGGATCTATCAACACCGACTTGTCTGGCTCGTATCGGGATGGGAACGAGGCAGCGAATAATTGGAGGAAACCACTGTGTCTGCGTAGCCTGTGCATGTTGTCCCGCTCGGTCTTTCTCGTTCCAGGACGCCGTGGCTCCGGTACCAGCACCAACGTGCTCCAGAATAACATCGCAAGGTCGTCTTGTATTTGGTAAATATTACTGTAAATGTAGATTCTTCGCGGTCTGCGGAGCGTGTGCGAGTCTGATAGATCTGCCGGTCTCCGGGCTGCTCTGTGGCGCTTCGCAGACACGGAAGGAACAAAATCAAGCGTGGCACAAGCTCGGAGTGAACATGTCCTAGCGGGCATCCCATATGGCCGCGGACCCGAAGCGGGCAAGACAAATATGCTATACGCTGGGCGGCAGGTCATGCTATACATACCAGTGCAATACAACGACGTGGGGCGAGAGGGATGGCCCACGAGGTGTACACAGCAGGGTGGACCCCATTTCAAATGGATCCGTTGGGGTATCTGTGAATAAACAACGACGGGACCAATCGACTTGCTCATAGCGGGTGCTAATCAAGGCTCGCATTCGTCCGCCGCCGCAAAGGCATCCATTCAGGGCGACACCAGGAGATATGTCCCAAGCACCCCAAGATCCGGAGGGACATGCAAAACGGGGAACTGCAGGTAGAGATGACGTTGAAGTGGAAAATTAGCTGTGCAAAGGGAGTAGTCGAATTGATTTACGGAGTGGACAACACACGCTGCACGCACATTGGCTTCTGGGAGATATCACCAGGTGATGCCCTGCTTTGACGCACAAAATGGAAGACAGGCGTGAAAGCGTGTGCCCATTGCCTCACAGGGACAGTTTGGCCGCCGACGCACCGTGACCCTCGACCATTGCTTGGGCATGATGACAGACCGTGAGTGAGGCGGATGTCGAAGCACGGATGAGCGCAACAGAAGCATATTCAGAAGCGTACTGAATGGGTACATATGCATCGAAACATGCGCACGGATGCGATAGCTACAGGCCATAGTGGACATGGCTGCGAAAGGGACACGTTTTCGAAGAGCATGGTGCTGTTTGCATCTGATAGAGACCAGAGACAGCGCCTATGGAAGGATCAGGGTGGGAGCACGCCGTGGTCTGCTCATGCCCGTTGACAAGTGCGACAGAGCGAAGGGAGCCAGGTCGTGTGGCAACTGCGAGCGCTGAGGTGCCGGAGCGCCTACACAGTACCTCGAGCAGGAACGCAAGAACGGCGCTAACGACCCTACATCACGATGGGAAGCTTGTAGAACAGTTACTGTCTCCAGCATTGGAAAGAGCGCTTGAACAGACGCGGCCGCTCTATCCGCCGAGGCAAATGGCGCAGCTTCAAGCGGGCTAGCGCAGGGGAAATTGCGCAACCAGTCCACTGATGCTATTGAGTTGACGTAATATTCGTTTTCGACGGTTCTTACGATAATCGATTGGAGTGTATCATCAAGGTGTGCGGAAGAGACATCTAAGTTCCAAATTCGAACGCGCGGGTGGAGCGTAACCAGTCCGAATAGACGGGTGAAACCTGCGGTGTGTTCTCGGACTTTAACCAGCCTGCACACGCTTGTGTTTGGGCGGCGCGCCGGCCTGGGCGTGTGCTGCGATCAGCGGATCTGGCAGGTATCACTCAAATGTATGGTAACTTACTGCTAAAGCAAAGCCCACACTATTGTTAGCCAGGCGCTGTCACACGCAGGGTCGATCACCATTACGCGAAGGCGAAGAAGCCGTTTCGGAGAGGTATACACGTCTGGGAGTGGGCAGAGGAAAGAAAAGCCTCGGAGTCGAGCTGGACTTGGAACTGCATAGCTGTGGTCGAATAAGAAAGGGACGACGTCGCACTCACTTCGGACCCGGAGTGTCACCAGTTCACCTGGGGGCGACTGTCCTCGGGCTGTTATTGCATCCGCCTCGAGGCAGGCCGCAGGCGTGCGATGCGTCTTCTGGCATCGAGCTCCGCTTGAAATTCGCATCCACAGCGAGAGCTCAGAGGCGTGTAATCAATAGATGCTAAAGATGGATTATCCACCGCGAACGTCGCGCTTACTCGTGGCACTACCGGCACTTCTAGCTCTGGAGGGCGCGGAGAATTGGCGCGGTCGACGATAACAACAGACTTGAGATGAGGACAGCTGGCGCTCAGACGGAGGAGGGCAGCATCGTGTTTACGGCCTTCGAAGGACAAGGAGAGACGCGGACAAGCTTTGCCAGAGATGCTAGACAGGGCACGTGTCCCATTTAATCTGATAACCGCACGATCAGCTGGATCGGGACTTGGGTCGGGCGTCGAGGAGAGCCGAACGCTGTC